AAATAAAAATTTCTTGTGTTCATATGTGCACAAATTTTTTTTTGCAGATCATAAGATCGACGAATTTCCAACACTGGCGCCGATTGATCGTAAAAATGAGTCACTAAATTTTTAAATAAATAAATCAATCTGTAGAAAAATATCAAAAAAATTTTTAAAATTAAAAAAAAACAAAATGTTTTCAAAAAGATTTCATAATATAATGGCTAGAAAAGTCATAAATTTGCCCTTAAAAAATGCTATTATTATACCCACTATAACAAGCTCTTCAATAGTTAATCATCATAATCATCGATTTTTTGCTAGTCAAGTTAATAATGCAAATAAAGAAAGATTAATAATTTTTGACACAACTTTACGCGATGGTGAACAAGCAAGTATAGATAAAAAGAAGGAAAAATGTTTTATCAAACTTGTTATTAATAAAAAAATTTTATATACAGTCACCAGGTGTTACTCTTACTATAGATGAAAAACTTGATATTGCTAAACATTTGTCAAGCCTTGGCGTTGATGTTATTGAAGCTGGTTTTCCAATAGCTTCACCAGGAGATTTTGAAGCGGTTGCTCGGATAGCAAAAGAAGTCGGTCCATTAATGCAAGGTCGAGAGAGTATTGGAAAACCAGTGGTCAGTTATTATTATTGTTGTTGTGTTTTATTTATTACACTTGATATTATGCTCATATGTTTATGAATAATAATAGATGATCACTGGACTTGCACGTGCAAAAGAAAAGGATATTAAACGATGTTATGATGCAGTGTCACAATCACCTTTACATAGAATACATACTTTCCTTGCAACATCTGATATACATTTAAAATATAAATTGAAAATTGATAGAGAAGAATGTATAAAACGTGCATCAGAAGCTGTAAAATATGCAAAAAGTCTTTGTGATGATGTTGAATTTAGTGCCGAAGATGGCGGCAGAAGTGATAAAGATTTTCTATGTAAATTGTTGGGTAAGGTGATCGAGTCAGGCGCAACTACCTTAAATATTCCTGATACAGTTGGTTATACTAATCCTGAAGAATATGGCGCTTTAATTAGATATCTGATTGAAAACACTCCTGGTTCAGATAAGGTGAATATAATTATTAATAATAATAATTATATTTATTTTTTATTTTTTACTATTGATAATTAATTATATATATAGGCAATATGGTCAACACATTGTCATAACGATTTAGGTCTAGCTACTGCTAACACTTTATCAGGAGTGCTTAATGGTGCAAGACAGGTTGAAGTAACTATTAATGGCATTGGTGAACGTGCAGGTATATGTTTATACAATCTGATATATAAGAATAATAAAAATTATCAATTATAACAATCATCTAATTATTAATTCAATACTCCTTTTTTTTAAAAAAAAAGGTAATACTTCACTTGAAGAAATAGCAATGAATATACGAACACATCCAGACTTTTATCCAGTTTATCATTCAATCAACACACAACAAATTTATCGTACATCAATTTTAGTCTCATCTCATTCCGGAATGTTAGTGCAACCCAATAAAGCAATAGTTGGAGCAAATGCATTTCTTCACGAATCTGGAATCCATCAAGATGGTGTTCTCAAAAATAAGTCAACGTATGAAATTATGAAACCGGAAGATGTTGGTGTGTCTGACACGAAATTAGTGTTGGGTAAATTGTCGGGACGTAATGCTTTTCGATCACGTATCGATGAATTAGGATATGGTGACATGAGTGAAGAGCAAGTTAATAATGCATTTGAACAATTTAAAGTATTAGCTGATTCGAAAAAAAAAGTTATATCATGTGAATTAATATATCTAAGATCAATCTTGCCTTGGGATAGTAATAATATAAAACTGAAATCATTTTTTTATTCTTGTAATTAAGATGGTAAATTATTTTTAAATTATATAAATAAAAATTTAATTTTAATATTTTTTCACTAGATATAAAATTAATATTTTATAGATTTGCTTTTCTTTCTTCCAAACGACTTCTTCTTTTATCAGAAACAAGTTCTCCCTCAAACATTCTATTAATAGCATTCACGTAAGCCTTGGCACTGGCTATGACCACGTCTGCATCAGTTCCACGACCTAGATATGTATTTTTAGGCTTAAAAACACTATCTATCGCTGTTTTTGTTGTTAAATTTTTTGTCTCATCTAATCCCGACGAATCAACATCTTCAGTTACTTTAACTACTACTTTTCCCAAAGCATCTATACCTTCTGATACTGCACGAACTTCATAATTTAACAATCTAATTTTTCGTTGAACTAAACGTTGAATAGCACCAAATACAGCCATTATTGGCCCAGTTCGTCCAATAGCTGCATCCATTAACTCTTTATTACCATTACCCGCCAATGTGTCTATCAATTTGACTGTAGCTGTTGCCATTTCTGCAGTTCCTGAAACCACCTGAATAGATTGTAACTTGAATCGATGTGACTCAGGAGCTGTTCCTGAGGAAATTTGATCTGACAACAAAGCAAAAAGATCATCTTCTGTAACTTTTTTTTTCGAATCAGCTAATACTTTAAATTGTTCAAATGCATTATTAAC